GCTGGCAAGGGTGGCTAGGGAGGCACTGGCAAGGGTGGCTAGGGTGGTGCTGGCAAGGGTGAGTGGCAAGGATGACTTAATGGATGGTACAGTAAATGCTGTACAGTTGGTTCAGTGTTGGTTCTGGGAGGCTGATCTAAATGATTTTGTTTTTCTAAGGAAATATTCTATTCAACCATATATAATATTCATATGGAAAAAAAACAGATTCTGTTTTAAGGAATTTATATTGAGTTGTTCATTTATAAAATATCATCAATATAAAACAAATCAACACTGTTGTGTTGGTTGATGCAAGATTGAAATCACATTATGTCTGTGTAGGGGTGCATGCATGCATGAATGTTGTTTGTCTGTGTGGAAGGAAGAAGGAGATAACAAAAATGATAATAATTGACGTGATTCACAACTTTAAGTCACTTTTAAGGATTTTTTGATACTGTATGAATTTAGAGAGACATGCATGGTGTGCATATACTGTCATACTATATACTATTCATTTATTTTTTGGTAATTAGTGAGCAAAAATACAATTATTTGAAAATGCTTATTTTTGTCTTATTTACATGTACATACATGTATATTAATCTTTATGTGTTAGTGACGTATATGCTTACATGTAGGTAAATTAAGATGTTTCTGTGTGTAATATTTTAATGATTCAGTATATAATTAATGTGATTTGGGGTTTACTAGTACATGTGTACGGGCTTTTATTGAATATGTGTTTCTAAATACATTCCTGTAATTGCATTAATTATTCACTGGGTTTTAATTTCACTATTTCTTACAGATAAGTAAAATCTGCAAAATTAATCTTTGTGAACATGTAAAATAACAAAAAAACTCATTGTTTCCTTGACAAATTTGTGAAAATATGCTCAAAACATCAAAAAGTGTAATGTCAGTGAAAAATGGTTTTACAGTATTTAAAAGTATATTCACCTGCCTGCAGTGTTGTACTCTTAATGACGTGTCTACACTGATTCCCATCCCTTAATAGATGCAAATTATGATAGCTGGCATGTTATAAGTTATTGACCTTTTTCTTATTTTCTGCAGATAAGAGAGTGGAAAACTGGTTTTTGATGTCATCACCATGGCCAACATTGGCTGTTATTTTAGTGTATTATATTTTTATATGGTTGGGCCCCAAATACATGGAAAACAGAGAAGCATACAAGCTGCAAACACCAATGATAATATATAATTTTTCCATCATGGGACTGTCTGTTTACATCTGGTGTTCGGTGAGTATACTATTATTTATGGTATAGCGCCCTCTAGTGGTCAGTCTTTAATGTGTCACTCAGTATGAGGCTAAAATTTTAAGAAGCCATATACATGTAAGAAGGGTGAAATGGATGACAGCTATAAACTTTAACATCTGAAAAAGATTATTCAAGAAATCTTTAGAAATGCAGGTACAGCCCAGAATAGGTAATAAATAAGGGGTGATTGATAACACAGGATGCATATGCAATGTTTTGAGGTTGAACATCCTATTGTCAAAACAATACCTACAGGGAAAAAAAACAAATGCAAATTGATGAAGTACAATATACTAAATAGCATCTGGTCAAAAAGACTGGAATGGCATCTAGTATCATGAGATAGTATCAGTGAAACACAGCAAACTGTTCTGAAATAGTGGAAATACACCATGTTGCAAAAAGTGTCAGAGCTGTAAAAAACGTGTCAGTGACTGGCAATAGACCAACACATAATGGGTGAAAATATACCGGTACTTTGATTCAAAATGGCTGATTGGTGGTCATTTCACTTTTAAATTATTGAATACAGTTCTAAAGCCATATGTATGTTTCTGACATGTTCCAAAGGCTTGTGTTCAGACTTTATAAATGTAACACAGATAATTTAATGATATTATTTGTTTTCAATATCTACCAGAAATGCCAAATTTATGTAATTTGTGATTCTAAACCCCTTCTTTGTTTTCAGTGTGTTTACAGTATGTATATGGCCGGGTACAAGTTTTCCTGTACACCTGTTAGTTACACCTATGATACTTATGATATTACGGTAAGTTTTATATTATCATATATACTTATGTAATATTATTATTATTATTATTATTATGATAACCAAAGGTGAGTAGAAGATGGAGAGGATTGTGCAAATTTCATGGTAGTATATGATTACCAATTGGTCAAAATAAGTCTAATTTTTGGTGCATGTATACGGCTATGAATGAAAGGAAACTGACTTGGTGATAAAATACTGCCTGCAGTTTTCAATTTCCATTACTATTTGTTACTATTAAAAACACATCTCTTAATAGAAGAGATTTGTAAATAAACAATTGTATTTATGGTATTTTTTGTTCAAAGACATCTGTCATCTACGTAACATGCATTACTAATAGAGTGATACCTGTACATACAAAAATCTTGAAAAGTAACTAGATCTAATCAACTTATTTACTCACCAAATATGGTCATGTGACCTCATTAAAAATGCATAACTATCATATGTGCAACACTATTGTAGATGGACATTCTACCAGTGTTTGTAATAAAGAAACTAGGGGGGCTTCTACATTTGTATCTCTGATTTCAAGCTTTCTTGCTGCTTAAAGGGACTGATAGATAGTGACACATTCGTTCTCAGTCAGTTTTTTATGCTTTTTTTTTAAATTCAAAATGTAAACAAAGTCGTCATGGTAACAGAACAAATTTTGTTATTTCTTTGCAGATAGCTGCAGCGTTGTGGTGGTACTATTTTTCCAAGGGTATAGAACTCTTAGACACAGTATTTTTTATTCTTCGCAAAAAAAATAACCAACTTAGTTTCCTTCATGTATATCACCATTCAACAATGTTTATATTGTGGTGGATTGGAGTCAAATGGGTTGCTGGTGGTCAATGTGAGTAAATATCCTTGATATATGGAATTATTTAACATAACCTTGTGTGCATTGTGTAAAGTACACATTCTTTGCACATTCAATTCACTTTTTATTTTGGCATAATTTGCATTTTTTTTTTTTAGCTAAAGAAAAATGGATATTACTATGCTCGATTAATAAATTTAATATTCTAGGATCACTTTATATACTGAACTATATGTGCCATTTATTTACACCAGCCAGGCTATGGTTTGTACATGCTGAATATACACAATAACATTAATGCAACTATAATGCAGAAGTCTTTCTCTGATTTTTTTACCATTTTATTGTGTTATAATATTCTAATGTTTGAGCATTATAGCTTTATTTCCCATAATGCATTATAATATGGATCAGTTTAACACAAGTTCCTTACTATCTTGCACGGCATCCTGACCAATGATATGAATGATGTGATTCTTGTACATAAATAACTGTTGGCCATTCTTGTCATGTGTCATCATACGGTTTGTCATTTTACAATTGGTATTATGAATATTCCTATTTGACTTGTTTTTCAGCTACTGTTGGGGCTTCTATTAATTGTTTTGTTCACATAATTATGTATTTCTACTATGGGATGTCGGCTTTGGGACCGAGATTCCAGAAATTCTTGTGGTGGAAGAAATACCTTACCATTCTGCAGTTGGTACGTATCTAAAATTATTTCATTCTTCAACATACCCGACTAAACCTGTTAGATGCCATGTGATCACCATATTGTTAGTTGTTGCTTTCAATGTTCAATTATACATAAATTAATAATGTACTCTGTTCAATATCATTTTAGCATATGTTGTATGACTGATGTTTTTGATTAAATTAAATCCCAAATC